AAAGCAAAAAGAACACGTTTGACCAATTACGTTGAAAGAAGCAGAAAAAAGTGGAAATTATCAGAAAAAAATTGAATTGAATGAAAATTAACTATAAAATCAAAAAGAAGCTTAAATTACCAGAAGGAAGTGGAGAGAAAGTATATTTCTGTTGAATGAGTGGAAAAATGTGGAATTAGCTGAAAAAGCTTAAATTAGCATAAACAGCTAAATATTAGCTGAAATAGTAGAAAAAGGGGCAGCACGGTGGCACAACTGGTAGAGCTGCTGCCTCTCAGCGAGCAGGTCCTTGGTTCAAACCCCGGTCCAGGGGCCTTTCTGGGTGGAGTTTGCATGTTCTCTCCGTGCATGCGTGAGTTTTCTCCGGGTACTCCGGTTTCCTCCCACAGACCAAAAACATGCATGTTAGGCTGATTGGTAACTCTAAATTGTCCCTAGGTGTGAGTGAGAGAGTGAATGGTTGTTTGTCTCGTTTGTCTCTATGTGGCCCTGTGATGGACTTGCGACCCGTCCAGGGTGTACCCCGCCCCTCGCACAGTGATTGCTGGACATGGGCACCAGCGACCCCCGTGACCCAAAATGGAATAAACGGGTAAAGATAATGGATGGATGGATAGTAGAAAAAGCTGAAACTTGCAAAAATACGCTGAAAGAGAAGCAAATGTTGTAGTTAGCAGAAAGAATCTGAAAGGAGCACAAAACAGCTGGAAAAACAGCGAAAATTAGTTGGAAGTAGCTGATTTTTTTTTATTTGCAGAAGGAAGCTGAAAGAAGCTGAACCAGAACAAAATGTTAAAGGAGTAGTAAAACGTAAACGGATCTAAAGATCTGAAAGATTTCAAATGAGCTCAGTTCATTTTCTATGAGACGAAAATGGCAGAAAAGTCTAAATATTTCAAAAAGCTAAAGTTGCACCAATACCAAAAGTCATAGCACCCTTCTCGTGAACGTTTTGATAAATGATTTGTTGAAATAGCACAAAAATTGTGGAACGAGAAAGATGCTGAAAAACGCATGGAAGAAAAATGGATCACAATAGTGTGAATGCTTCATAAACCTTCATGCAGTCAGTGGTGACGTCAAACCAACGATCACTTTCTGAAAGTTTTATCAAAATCTGTTCAGTGAGGCGGGAGATATTTTGTAACTGTACAGACAAACACACACACACACAGGCAAAAACATTGTTGCTCCGCCTCTGATGGCGGGCGACAACAAACAGAAGCAACAGGCGAAAGCTTCGATTGTCGGTGGCCGATCTGGAATTGAGCACACGAGGAGAGCAAACACTCTGAGGTCTGAGCAGCCGAGGTGTGAAGTTCAGACAGAGGAGTCCCCTGCGACCGCATCTTCCACCATGATTTACAGCCCCTGTCAGACACAACCAGATAAAACTGGGCCAGCATGATGAAATGGACCAGACTGCACTTGATAAATCAAAAAAATATAAAAAAAATAAAAAGCTCAGTGGAGGAAGATGTTCAATACACTCATGTGTAAAAGATTTACAGCAAGATAACCGATTTATAGCAGAAACCAAGATTAATGTGAAATCAAACACGTGACTCGACGTGTGCGTCTGCAGATGTTAAATCTGTTGCGTTTCAATAACTATAAATACATTTACTACAATGATTCAGCATTACTCTTCTTTAACTAGAAGCTGGACTCCGTCTATTTGCCACTGTCGACGAAATGTGTAGATCTGTCGTTACGTTGTCTTATGTGTGTGAAAAAGAATAAAATGATCTGAAAAGACAGTTTTATATGGAATTATTTTTGTCTTCTTGTTTGATTAATGATGAACAGAAGAATGAGCCGAAGCAATTCTGATAAACACTTCAACTTTTCATCTAAATAGTAAAACAGTACGTCGCTGCCATGTGTTTAAAATGAAATATTTTCTGCACGGTTTTTGTTTGTGTGACTAAAAGTTTTGTTTCTGTGTTTCTGTGGAGCAATAAGTCAACGAGTAGTTCACAGAAAGTGCTCTGCAAATGATTTTCTTCACATAATAAGTAACTATTTGGTTTGTAGGCCGTCAGAAAGAAAACGTGACCCCCTGAAGGAATGCATGTCACCCGCCACCTCTCATTGCAGAGTTTTAAACCTTATGTTGAGAAATTAAAGTTACAGTCATGCTCAGATTAGTCTCAGCTTCTGCCACACCAAATTTGAGATCAACATCTGTCAAACTGACTGAATTATAATCACTTTTGTGTTTGTTGCGTTTGATTAGCTGTGGAGGCCATCTTGAACCGGGCTGAGTAGTAAGTAGTAGTATCATGGGGCTTGTAGCCGTAACTCTGACGATTACACCTGAGAGTTTCAGTTCAATCCATCAAGCGGTTCATGAGATATTTTGCTAACAGACAAGTACAAACCTACTAACAGAGGCAATCCATTAATAAAAATTAAAAAAAAATTCCCATAAGAGAATACAAAAAAAGGGGGGGGGGAAGCCATGTATTTCCTCTAATTCATATGCAAATTACTTGAAATTGATTCTTTAAAGAGATGTTGAATAATTAATTGTCCATGCAAGCTTTAGATGTAACCTAGAGCTTTCTTTCCCCCATATTTCCAAAAGGTAGATGGCAAAAATGCTTTGAATCATGTTATTTAAACAAAAAAAACACGTTCAAGTCAATTTTATTGTCGTTCTCATCACATATGGTACATGAGGTGGAACGAAGTTGTGTACACAGGGTCCCAGATACACCCAACAATAGCAAAAATATAAAGTGTAAAAGAAACAGTAAATAAGGAACTAAGATATACACTATATGCCAAACGAACGCCAAAGGGCACGCCAAAAGATTTAAGATATACACTAAACATCAATAATGTAAAACAATACAGCGTAACAACAGCAGCACGAACATGAGTCCATGGTGAGCAGATGAATGAATACTCCAGCATGAGAAACAACCTATTCATGAATCAACAAAAGAGCTAAATTAAGGCTTACTGAAACATCCAAGCAGATTTATTAACATTAAATGCAGGTTTAAAGTTCATTTAAATGAAGGTGTTGCAACCACTCCGTAAAAAGCTGACAAATGATCCGAAATTGGGATTTTTTATTTAAACGTGAAGCCGGTCGCTTCACAGAAAGACCTAAAACGTGCTGCACGAGCAACCCCTGGAGCGTCTGTATACCAAAGAACCAGCTCCAGATAATTTTCAAGTGTATGAAAAATGGACAGGCAGAAAGAGCGCACAGCAAATGAAGAGGGCCTCGATTTCACCTTCACAGCACTGAGATCACAATTTCAACGGGTCATTTCTGTACACAAAGACGTGCCACTATGAGTGAACATTTAACACGTATGGACGGGTACTCCGTGTAGAAGTATTAAATGTCTAATATTTCAATTATGAAGAAAAAAAACATGTTTTTCGTGTATTATTTGATGTATTTGTGGACAGGTTTGTCCAATCAGTGCTGTGAAAACACAGGTGTCTTGCAGGAGGAGGTCATGTAGCCTCACTACATCTCATTCATGCTCACACTCCTACGTGCACACTTGTCTGACCCACATCACGCAAAGAAGGCAGAAAGGAAGGGGAGGCCCTTCAGCAAAGGCTGGTCCCCTGATAATCTTGTTTTTTGAGTGGGTTGACGGAGTTCATGGCCACCCAGTGGTTAATACGACACTAAGGCAATATTTAACCTGAGAGTGAACGTTAAAGCTCATTTAAAAAAAACTATTATTTACACTTCCACAGAGACAGATTACGGTCCGACAGGATTGTGCAGTCACAACAATGAGTAATCCTAATCAGCCAATATTGATTTTGATATTTATGGAATGCATCTTTAAGATGTGCATTTCTAAGCAGTTTGATCTGACAAGTTCCTAACGACAAATATACATATTTTTAGATTAAAATATATATTTTTTTACCTTTTCATTCAGGTATGACATACTTGATTGTATTTTAAGGCACTTTGTGAAGCGTTGGTTTTATTTATTTTAAATTTAAATTAAAATGAATGGCACAGTTTGTGAGTAAATGTTTTTATTTTGTTTTAAATTGTTAATAAACTTCAATCAAGCGTGTTTAAAAAACAATAACAAAAAAGTTTGTTAAAAACACTGTTTGCTATACTGTTTGTTCACTGTATTATGAGTATTGTTGTATTGTATGAGAGTATTGTATTGTAGTATTGTATTGAAGTATTAGAGTATTATATTTTCTGTTTTGCAATCTGAGTTGTGTATACTGTTTGTACAGTAAAACTGATTTAACTGAGCTAAAATGTTCTTTTTATATTTTTGTATGAGGTTTATTCATTATTTCATTGTTTTATTTAAACAATGATCATTTTTGAATTGAGACAGTTCCTCAGATGAAAAGTGAAACGACTTTGATTTCTGAATATGGATCCAGTTGTTTTGATTTTTAAGTTTGTTGAGGATATGCCATGTCCTGGATGAGAACCCAAACCAGCTCGACAATATTCTCATCTTTAAAATATGCACTGTTAAACAGCAGGCCTTCCTCTATATATTTAATTAAACACATGCATTTATGAATCCTTTTTAAATGATTTGTTTGGATTTTGCTTAAAGTTTGGTCAACTGTTGCATTATTTTACACAGAAAATCACATACTTTCCCAAGTTTTTCATATATATTGTTTAATATTTGTGTTTTAATGTCAGTGAGATTTTAATAGCACAGATAAAATCGGCTATTCAACTTGCATTAATTACTAAATACCCATTTTAGGTCTGTGGCTCAAAATAGCAATTAGCTAACGTTTAATTTCAAATAAAACAAAAGTTAAAGCTGTAATTTAATCCAAACTATCATTAGAACGGGTTAAGACATCATTTAATATGTTTTTAATCTAAACAGTTATGTTAATATGGTAAGAAACTGGACAATCCTTTTCTTTGTAGATGGCAGTGAAAGCAACATTTTGCCAGAATGTCTCTGTTCGGGGGAAAAAACCACGAAGAAGAAGTCGAAATCTCCATTTCCGGTTCCGGGTCTCTAAACAGAAACGTCGTGTGAACGGCGCGGTTACATAGAAAGTTTACGAGAATACTTGGTCATAGGAGTAATTTACGCGTGTAAACTTTGGTAGTTTGTGTCGGATTATTACAGGATTGTCTAATCCTTTTGGATTACAAACAACTTTGACAGGTTTGTCATATTAACGGAGTCGGTGTTTGTTGTTGTTGGTAGCTCAAGATGTGCAGTCAGTGTGCTAATGCTAGTTAGCAGGTAACCAACCCGAGAGTTTTAGCTAATGTGATTTTAGTTTGCTTGTTGCTCTTTGTTAATTCACTCATCTACATACTTCAACATAATATTTATTAATTGATAAAAGCACATTTTGTTCTGTATCTTTTGTGTTAGTCGGGTTTAGGTAATGATTGTGTTTGTGCTGCTAATTGGAACAAAACAGGTTTTACTATTTATTTTTTGTTAGTTAATATTGAACATAATTTATGGAAACAAATTTTGTTTAAAGTATCTCGTTAAAAATAGCATTTTGATCTGGTGGCTCAGTCAGTGGTGTCATTAAATAACCGTTTTGTACATTTGCAGGATTTGAGGATGTCTCTGCCTAAGCGGGAGGTGGAGGAGTTGAGACCCTGGGTGGAGCGGACTGTGAAGAAGGTGTTGGGTTTCTCTGAGCCCACTGTGGTCACTGCAACTTTACACTGCGTGGGAAAGGGGCTGGATAAAAGGAAGACCACAGGTAAACTGAACTGATCAGTTGACATGGCTCCTATTTGAAATCCTCCAACTGAGAACAGGGAACAGGTGGAAGAGAACCAAAGGAAGGCCCCAGCTTACTCTATCTGAAGCCAGATATATATGTATGCAATTAGAAAGGACATGGACAATGCTCATGGGTTGACCTTATTAGCACCAAGGCTCAGCAGAAGATGTATTTTTTTAAAGAAACGGGGGTCTTTGAGTCAATAACTCGATGCTTTTAATGTTTTGTTCTGCTTTTATTGAGGGTATTTTAACATTTTGTAACATCTGTTGGTTTGGCAATGCTACAGAGGCTCAGAAGTATACCAGTAAGTACCAGTAGCCAGCAAACAGTTAGGGACCACTCTGCCGAGTATGGAAAAAATATCCACGGACAGAGTTATGAGGAAGGCAAACAAGATTATAGCAGACAATACACATCCCCTAAGATCCTCATTTGAGTTGCTTCCTTCAGGGCGAAGGTACTGCCTTTCTTTATTCTCAAGAAACAGGACAGAATTTTCTTTCATACCACAAGCGATTAAATCATTAAACAATAAAAAGGTATCATAAAATACTGAGCTCAAACTTCTTTGCTGTAATATAGATGTTAACGTCATGTTTGTATATGTACTGTATGTCCTTTATGCAAATGCCTGCTAACAATGGGTATGTTTACATGGACATAAGTAACCGGATCAAATGGCCGGTCGGAATAAAAGTGTGTCATGTAAACGCTCCGTTCGGGTTATTTTTTGTGTATTCGGCGCGATCCGTTATAATTTCTGATCAGAACGAAACGGGTGGTTTACGCCGATCCAAAACCCGATTGGTGCGCATGTAAACGCTTGATCTGTTCGTTTTTATCTGATGGTGAAAAACTGACCTGACTGCTCATGTGCGACTTTGCCATTTCCGCCTGGCTAACGCTAATAATATTAGCATGTCAGGGAAGTAAAACTGGTCGGTGAGCGACACAACATTTCTACTAGAAACTTTTAAAGAGCTCAAAATGATTTCTATTACCTGTAGCTCAGTCAGGGAGTGCAATAACGTCTCCAACATCATTAAAACCTGTCGCGGATCCATTTTGGGTGCTCAGGTTTGTTTACGTTCACCCGGAAGTAGAACTTCTTCTTCTGTGGTTTTTTTAAGGAGAGTTTACCACACTGCGCATGTCAGTACTGCTGTTCAGAACAAAGCCCGCTGCATGTAAACGCTCATCATGAACAGATTGTGCCCATGTAAACAATACATCTGAATTATTCAAACAGAACACATTTCAATCCAGTCAGAGAATTCTGCGCATGTAAACATAGCTAATGCTGCAAACCAATTTCACTATGGGGACAAGTAAAGCTATCTTACCTATCTGGAGGTGTGGACAGAATGAGATTGAGAAGGATGACTTGCTGTGGCGACATATGAAAAGGAAACAGCTGAAAATAGGAGAACATGGACTGCCCAACTAGTACTGATTCGGTTCTATGCTTTCAATATAACTTTAATATGTATTCAGTTCTTGCACTAAAAGTTATTTAAGGATTTATGTTCTGGTCTTGGTGGCAGAATGTTAGCAGTAACTCCCTGATGGATGAGCGGGATCTCTGTAGGTTGAGCTTGTTTTCTCTCCTATATCTTAACCTCAGGCAATTTAGAGGGTTCTCATCCCTAAAAGGTTTGATGTGCTGTGAATCAGATATTTCTATATGGTATGAAGCAGAACTGATGTTAGCAAAAATGTAGGAGGCAAGTATCAAGGTGATATTTAAGCAAACACCACTTTTGAAAATATGCACCTCATGTTGTACAGCTACAGTGAAAGATTACAGTTCATAAAACTTGGCATGGCACTCAAATGACTGCTTTTCAGTTGTTTTTATTGCACACTTTTCTGATAATAGATTTGTTCCACTTTACTACAACAATCTAACTTCTCTTTATGGTTTAATGGAGTATTAAAGAGTTATTTCAGTTATAATTTATAATGTATTATTATATCTCAGTTTAGAACACTGCTTTCTAATTAATGTTGGTGCATGGGAAATCACTCAGTTATGTTTTGCTTGGATAATAATCAGATTATGACTACCGGTAATTTGTTTGATTAATTTCACACTCGTTTGTCCTCAGACCAGTTGCGTCCTTTCCTCGATGATTCCGCAGTAGGTTTTGTGGAGCGGCTTTTTGAGGCTCTGGAGGAGAGCCGCAATTCCCGTGGTAACAAAGGAGCAGGCGAAAAGAACCGCAAGAAAGAACTAAAGGTAAGAAAAGTAAAAAATATGCTACTTTATTGTTATTAGGGATAGGGCCGATCCAGTATCGGTATCAGCCTCCGATACCAGCATAATTTACGTATCGGATTTTTCCGATCCATGATGCAAGTTGGCTTCAAACTATGGAATGGATTTCCTGAACTGCAGCGTGTCTCATGAACCCAGAGTAATAAGACCCGCCTCACATTCAGGAAATCCAGTTCATAGTTTGCAGCCAGCTACAACATGAGGGCTGAGTTAGCAGCACTGTGGCTAACAGCTAACCAACTTTTCATCTAAACATGTCCGCTGTGTGGAAGTATTTTACACTAGAAACACCAGAAAACAAGACAGCAACGTGCAATGTCTGCAGAGCCATAGCGCCACATTAAACTACGTTAAAGTTAGTTTTAAGATGGACATTCGAGCTCCGTGGCTTCAGCGAGGCACTGCTCTTTGGTCAAACCGGAAAGAGGCGACTCGACCCCGGCCAGCCGCGTCCAATCTGCCCCGCTCAGTCTGCCCGTCTCTGAGGATGGACAGACTGAGAGCAGCTGCCCCAAATCAGGCTGCTTGCTTTGGATTGAACAAGAAGAAGACATCGCTGAAGCCACGGAGCTCAAATGTTTTCAGAGAAGTTACTAAACTTCATAATTAATGACCAACCACTATCAGTTGTAGAAAACGAAGGATTTCACAGCTTGATACTTGCAGCCAAGACATAATTTACCCTCCAGGAGATATTTATCAGTACAACAGTAGACAATCATAAAAAAACATGTGATTTGAAAATTATATATATTAAAAACATAAACAGCTACATTATAAAGTGATGTAAAATACTAAAAACAGGAACATGTCTGTTGGTTTATGCCATGAACTTAGCAGATGTTTGAAGCCATTTAACATTTTAATTTAATTCATTTATTCATTAATTTAAATGAAACAAAATTGAAGAAAAAAAATCATCAAAAAGAAAACATTGAATGAAAAGAGTGCAGAAAGAAGAAAAAAATCATATCTGCCCCTTATTTAAAAAAAATATAAAATAACTAAACAATCACTTAAATTAATCACTTTAATATCCACTTTAAAGCTAGGAATAAAAAGAAACATGTTTTGTGTTGGCAGAATTTAATTCTAACTATAAAACTTATCCAACATTAATAAAACTTACCTCAAGTTGCCTTTTTGGACGTGCATGCATATATTTGTACAAATTGTACTTGAGAGGAGATTATTACAGCCTCATATAAAATCAATGATGATCATGATATCGGAACTGGATCGGTATCGGACGATATTCAGACTTGGGTATCGGGATCGGATCGGAAGTAAAAAAAAGAAAAAAAAGAAAAGTGGATCGGTGCATCCCTAATTGTTACCAACTTGGCTAATCCAAATCATAACTCAAACCTTTATTTTTTGACTGCATTTTTTATTTAAATTTAAAAAATCTTATCCTAATGTGATATATGATTATTTACCGTATATAAATAATTTTGAGGATGCTTATGGTGCGGCTGTTTGAATTCAGGATGTCTTTGGAGAGGAGGTCGACTCAAGTGCCCTGAAAGAAACTCCCAAGGCGGTAGATGGGACAGCTGTAAAGCGAAAGCGAGTCCCTCGTTTTGAGGAGGTTGAGGAGCCTGAGGTCATACCTGGAATTCCATCTGACAGCCCAGGCATGCTCACCAAAATGCAGGTGCAAGAATGATGTGCAGCCTACACAAACTTCATAATCATTACTGTTTGATTTTAATTTTGAAATTAATGTTGTTTTTTCTTTTAACTTCTTTAACAGATCAAACAGATGATGGAAGCAGCCACAAAACAGATTGAAGAAAGAAAGAAACAGCTGAGCTTTACACCTTCATCCACCACTGCAACAGTAAAGATTTCTTTACATTCTTATGAACTCAAACTTTTTTTAAAGGCATTTTTTTTAAATATCAAATGTTTCAGCATGATTTTTATTTTCTCTTTTATTTTGGCCTGACTTTGCTGTATTTTTATTTTATTTTTTTACTTGATCACAGGTGGATGCTGCGACAGTCACTCGGCTCACTAGTGGTGGAGCCTCATCTATCGCCCCCTCCCAGGCTGCCAGCTTTATGAACGATGCCATCGAGAAGGCCCGCAAGGCAGCTGAGCTACAGGCCCGCATCCAGTCCCAGTTAGCTATGAAGCCAGGAATCCTTGGGACTTTGGGGAACACTGGGCCTCAAAACTTTGTTGCACTCGCTAATCTACACGCAATGGGAATTGCTCCTCTGTAAGTAACATAGATTTAAGACCTTAAATGGTAATGTCTGTGGGCTCACAACAAACTGTAAAAAATATTATTGTTGGTGTAACTACAGGAAAGTAGAAATTAAGGAGGTGAACAAGCCGACGCCTCTTATTTTGGATGAGAAGGGCAGAACCGTTGATGCTACCGGCAAAGAGATTGAACTCACGCATCGTATGCCAACGCTCAAAGGTATGTACTCAGTATCTATATGTTCTAGGGTGGTCAAAACGCTCTCGCAAACGATCACTAATCATAAAACTGAAATTAAGGCTCAATTTATCAACAGTGGTCAGGTTTCCGTTCACAAACAAAGCAGCGTTCCTGTCAGCAGGTAGAGGTCGTAGCAACCAGGTTACTATTGGCTGCAGGAGAACGTTATCTAACTGGAAACAGGAAACTAACAACTTTGGTGGACATCCACAAAGATAACGTGAACAGACTTTTCTTTCATTAGTTTTTTTTTTTTTTTTTTTAATGTAACAGGGATATCAATTCTGGGACAACACTAGTCATGTGAGTTTTTTCCAGGCCTACTCTGATCCAAATTTAGAGGAATATAAAACAGTCAAACCAAAAAAAAATATTTCCTCGTGTGAACCTATAAGCTTTTATTTGCTTACCAAATAAACTATACATATTTTCTTGTTTTCATTCAAACATGGATAAGAAATGACAGTAGTAACTCATCTTTCTTGTGTCCAGTTGAGACGTGGCTTTGCTCTCCATCACAGCAGACAAATATTCATCTGCTCTTGTCTTAGTAGCTGAAGACAAACCTTACCTGACATTCAAAGGTGACGGCTACGGTCAGAGTCAAAACAAATCCAACAATGTTTATATTGAATCAGACTCCATCATCGTTTCATCTTTGTGCAGTTGTTTAAAAAGATTGAATTCAACAACTAGGCACATCATTACACGTTGATAGATTTTTTGAATTTTTTTTATTATGAAACGGAGACGGTTTTTAATGAAAAAAAGTTGAGGGGTTGATGTGAGCTTTTTGTCATGCTCATCCAGTTAAAAGCAGTTGACCGTTGATCTCACTTTTCCTTCTTGGCTTGAACTGTTTTCTTTTTAAACAAGACGTTTTGATGATGGTTAACTGGGATTTGAGCGATGATTCCAGTTTTAAAAGGGCAAAGACCTGCACATATAGCATAAATTACATGTTTAAATGGGACAGAAGTTACTTGGACAATAATAATATACATTTAACGTATTGCTTTTCATGTCCTCTGCATTTGTGGGGAAAATGGTTTAACTTGACGTCAAACTTTTTGGTAGGCAGTGCGCTTGGTTCTGTTGGCAGGGCACGGTGCCCTGCTTTTATAATGGCGGGGGAAACACTGAGCAGGCTGTGTTTAAGGAAGTTACTATGGATGCTATAGCATCGATCCAATCTCATTAGTGTCGATACAGTCCAACACTAACGTTAGTATCTATGCAACACCAAAATGCTCAAAATTAAATAAATAAATAAAACTATGAAAAAAAAAAAAAATTCATTTTTATTATTTTATTTCATAATTGTGTTTTTCATGATGGCTTATTTATTTCATAATGACTAAGCAGCACGGTGGCGTAACTGGTAGAGCTGCTGCCTCTCCGTGAGCAGGTCCCCGGTTCAAATCCCGGTCCGGGGGCATTTCTGGGTGGAGTTTGCATGTTCTCTCAGTGCATGCGTGGATTTTCTCCGGATACTCCAGTTTCCTCCCACAGACCAAAAACATGCATGTTAGGCTGATTGGTAACTAAATTGTCCCTAGGTGTGAGTGAGAGAGTGAATGGTTGTTTGTGTCGTTTGTCTCTATGTGTCCCTGTGATGGACTTGCGACCCGTCCAGGGTGTACCCTGCCCCTCGCACAGTGATTGCTGGACATGGGCACCGGCGACCCCCGTGACCCAAAATGGAAGAAGCGGGTAAAAGATAATGGATGGATGGACTAAAGCTGTCAATCCAACGTCAGTGGGTTGGACCTTCACACCCACTGGCTGATCTTTCACATCTGCTGTTATTGCTAGTATCACTCTGCCCCCTGTGAATAGCAAGCAGATTATTTATTTATTTATTGTTGAGCATTTTGGTGTTCCATAAGTTTCATGTTGCCAAAGATTCAATCATCCAGGACATGATAAAATAGAACGAAGACGAAGCAACTGGACTTTTTCTCTGTAGCTAACGATGTGCAGAGTTCCATGATTTTAACTGCACGAGGTTGGTATCGTTATTATTAATACTTGGATCGATTTGCTTACCCTACCTCATTGACGTAAAAGTTGGATAAAATGTGACACGACTGTTCAGACTGCAGTCGCTTTGAAAAACATTGGCTATGTTACGATCCAAATCAGTACCACGTATTCACTCAACCTTTATTTATACAGGTGATTCCCATTGAGCCTTGCAGACTCCTTTATAAGAGAGACCTGATATGAAACAAGACTTGAGTCAAATATGATAAAATTGGTTTTGTCATGTTCAGACTCATGAAAAAGTTCTGATGTGGGTCACATGGGCAAAACAACTGGACTTGGTCTGCATTTGCCTGCAATGTGATTCTTTTCTGTGCAGCTAACATACGAGCTGTAAAGAGGGAGCAGTTCCGTCAGCAGCTGAAGGAGAAGCCCGGGGAGGAAATAGAGTCCACGTCCTACTTTGACCTGCGGGTACCTATGGCACCAGCTCAGCGTTCTCGCAAAAGTTTCAAATTCCACGATCCAGGACGTTTTGAGAAGATCGCTCAAAGAGTTAGAACAAAGGTTGGAGAAAACTCAAACTGCGAACCGTTAAGACTTCTAGTGTGAAATATTCAAATTTGCAGTTATGTGTCTTCTGTGTCTTTTGTACAAACATCTTCCCTCAATCAGGCCCAGCTGGAAAGGCTGCAGAATGAGATCGCCCAGGCTGCGAAGAAAACAGGAATCCAGGCTTCTACCAAACTGGCACTGATTGCTCCCAAAAAAGAGATTGAAGAAGGAGATGTGCCCAGTATCGAGTGGTGGGACTCTTTCATCTTGCCCTATAATATAGCAGTGTAAGGAATTACATTCCTAAAAAAATTTTTTGAGGTCTTTGGAATGGAAATAATGCACTTAGAAAAAAATTACTTATTTTGTTTTCTTCTTTTTGTCTTTCAAAGAAATCCAGAAACAAAATTTGAAGAGTTTGAATTGTTTGGCGTAACCAACCTTGTGGAACATCCGGCCCAAATGAGTCCTCCAGGTGAGTGCAGGAATGGTGCAACAAGGTCTTGGGAAGTTCACCTGTTTCACTAAGATCTATACACGACTGTAGAAATACACTCGATCCTCCTTCACGGCGTGCTTTTACTCAGTTCGCATCTTCTCAGCATCGGGCCAATATGTCACCGTTACCTGTTCTTGCTTGGTTTTCGGCTCCACCTCAGCTGTGGGCAAGCGATTCTGACGTCAGCAAGCCGCAGCCGTTGATTGACCCTTGGATTGACATCATTCATTGTCCTCCTGAAGCGCCATTTTCAATCTTATTGTTGAGTGTACAGTACATTGCTGAGATGGAGCAAATCACACTTAAAATCAAATAAAGTTTATTTTTATGTCGCATTTAAAAACAGTTGTTGTTGGCCAAAGTGCTGCACATCATATAAATAGTTATAAGACAATACAAAAACAGGAGACTGTAAAAACATAAAATTAAAAATATCTAGAGATAAAAACATAAAATAAAACCAAAAAAGAGGCAGTGAATAAATAAATAAAAAGTCAGTGCTCGTGCTGTATCAAAACAGTAAGTACAAATGTGTTTTGAGATGAGCCTTAAAACCACCATGTGTTGAAGTCTGTCTGATATGAAGAGGCAGCTGCGTGCACAGTGTAGGAGCTACAACTGAAAAGGCCCGATCACCTCTGTGGACCACGGGACGACCAAAAGCAAATGATCATTAGAGCTGTGGGACCTAGAGGGCACATAGGGCTGCAGGAGTGCACAGTGCCATGATGAATAAAAAAAAAGAATCAAGTCAGACTACCGGACAATAAAAAAATCACATCAGTCGAACCAGAGGGACCGGAGGTAGTTTGCCCAGATGGACGCCTACTCCCGCTTGTCCACTGTCCCGCCCATAAGTGAGGGACACTAAACGGAGACGCCTACACTTGAGTTGAACTGAATAGAAATGAAGCGATTAGAGTGGTACTTAATGGAAAAGCGGCTAAAGATGACTCGCAGGCAGCTGGATTTTTGTGTACTTTGTAGGATTTCAACAATAATTATATAAGGGATGCACGATATTATCGGCATGTATCGTATCGGCCGATATTTGCGATAAAGTTAAATATCGACCATTCCATCAAAATAACTCACTGATATGAAAGGCTTCTGTTTTAAGTTCATTTTTAATTTAAGAAACTGTCAATTATATCTATTAATGCACTACTACTTATGCGCTTTTAACTTGTAGCTTGTGAACAGGTTGAGTTTAGATTCGTGAAAATTTACAAATTTGCACTGTTTGCATGTTGTCACTGTGTTAGAGTAATTGTCATGAATAAATTTGACATTAAACATAAAACAAGTTGAAGTGTTACCTCATTTTCAGTCCCCTTTTTGGCATCTGCATTTGGTAGCAGGCCAAACTGACAAAGACCATGCAGATTGCAGTATTTTAATTCCACAGCAGAGAAAGCTATGTAATCTCTGTAAGTAGGTCTAGGGGGGAAAAAAAAATATCTGTGTATCGGTTATCGGCCAAAAATCCAATATTGTGCATCCCCTATATATATTTTTAAAATCTTAATCGTGCAGAAAGCAACTACCGCTACTGTTGTTTTTAAAACACAGGAAATTTCACCACAGTGTCTAATAAATTTTAATAAATTTTTATGTTATATCAGCCCTAACAAATTGTTACACAACACCGGTAATTGTATTTTTTGTCTGGCATTTAGCTATACAAGGTGTTTATACTCAGTAATTTTTTCAAAGCAGTTCTGTGTTTTTCCTTTGAACATGTCTTAATGGTGGCACTGTCCTTACTAAAGGGTACGTTTAAAGCTTTGCTTCTTTTTGCAGTGGACAGTGATAAGCCGGTAACGCTGGGTGTGTACTTAACAAAAAAAGAACAGAAGAAACTAAGAAGACAAACGCGGAGAGAGGGGCAAAAAGAAGTGCAGGAGAAGGTCCGTTTGGGACTGATGCCTCCACCAGAACCCAAAGGTAGATGCCTTTTAAAATGCCTTTATCGCAAACTATTGCACCGTTTGACTAAGCAAACTACCATTGACGTTAATTATTTTTATTTTCACAGTACGTATCTCCAACCTCATGAGAGTCTTGGGGACAGAGGCGGTCCAGGACCCCACGAAAGTCGAGAACTTTGTGAGAGATCGGATGTTCAAAAGACAAAAGTTAGTAATCAAGACATTTGTCTTTTGTTGTTTCTTGAACTGAAAAATCTTTGAAAACGAAAGTCTTTGTTAAAATGTTTCTAATTTCGTCACGTTGGCAGAATCCATGAGGAGGCCAACGCAGCTCGGAAGCTCACAGCAGAGCAGAGGAAAGAGAAGAAGGTCAAGAAGTTAAAAGAAGACCTGACTAATGGTGTTCACATCGCAGTTTACAGGTTTGTGTTTGTCAGGAGGAAACACGTGATGCAGCTGAGAAAAGATCCAGTCAACCTTTTGAACACCTTTTCTTTCATTCCCAGGATCCGGTATTTGCAAAATCCTGCCAAGAAGTTTAAAGTTGAAGCCAATGCAAACCAGCTGTACCTAACGGGAACAGTTGTTCTGCACAAAGACGTCAATCTTGTTGTGGTGGAAGGGGGTAAGGAAAGATGGCAGCTGAATCAGTGGTATTACTGCGTTCTGTTGAAATCTTGCTCACAGTTTGGAGAAGAAAGGAGTGAGATTGTCTGGTTCGTCTAAGATCTGTAGGGCTTACTTATGATCAGCAAACAACAGACTTTAGTCAACTCTTAACCAGTTTCTTACTAGACTGAGACCCAAACCTGTGAGAACATTCTGAAAGTTTAACTTGCAGTCTCACTGAATTCTGTGTTTGTGACCACCAAGCTGTACTCCGGGGTTATGAGAGTTTAAAAAAAAAAATAATCACAGCCTGTTTTTGTGTGCACAGCTTGAAATTGTATTCCTGGCTGTGCACATTATTTGGCTGCCCTCTTCGCCCTTCTTTGACCCCCCCTTATCAGCTGTCCCTTTGTACACTTTTGAAATGAAATGCAGATTTGGACTGTTTTTATATATATATATATATATATATATATATACATATATATACATATATATTATCACTCATTTTTCTATTATTTTTAGGCCTGTCACGATAACAAATTTTGCTGGGTGGTTAATTGTTTCAGAAATTATTGTGATAAACAATAATAATGTTTGAAATTTGACAATAATTAGTAATTATTGTCAAATTTAAAAAGAAATGTTGGTCAATTTGTTTTGGACGTAGTACCTTTTTTGACCACCAGATGGCAGTATAAGACAATTTGTACTGAAGGACGGATAGTGAGGGAGTGAGCAGTGTGTCTCTTTAAGAAGAATGGGAGGGAGGCCCCCTGATGTGACATGGGCTGTCTTTCCTTTTTTTGGGTTCTCAAAATGGCGGACACTCTGTGTGCTTTGAGTTCTTTAGCATAGCATTTTTCACACAAAGCTTTTAATAAAAAAATCAGTAAACAAGTTCTCAGCTTCTTTTTGCTGAGAAAAACAACTTTTTACACAAAGGCACAGGTTTCAACCATGAAGTTAGGAGCTTCGACAAAACTGCTGAGGTTTTTTTTCCCAAGGTCGGCCTGTTAGCTTAGCTCGTAGCTTAGCTTCTCAGCTTAGCTGCTTTTAACAATCCAAAAATGCGATTTTGGATGGTTAAAATGGATTTTAAAGAGAAAGGGAGGGGTCACTGAAGACCACCGGAGTTGAGCCTTTTTGTCATCCAGTGTTTTCAGTAGAAAGAGAGACACAAAACGATAAAGCCGGTAAATGAAAATGATGTTGATAATTTTCATTTACCATGCGATTAATTGATTTATTGTTAATCACGACAGGCCTAGTCTAAAATACATGCAGGTTTAGGCTGCCTTCAGACTCAGGCCTCCCTTGCAGAAAAGATCTGTGACCTCACAGAGATTTTCCTGGTTAAATAAAGGTTAAACAAATAAAATAAAAAGTTAAAATGATTAGTGTCGTGTTATTTAGACCTGCACATTCAGGATTCTCACTTTGTCGTTCACTGGCTACTGAACTCTCAGCCCAGTAAAACACTGGCCTAAGTACATATGTGTGTATATGTAACTACTAGCTTTTTGTTTAAACAGAAGATATTTTCCCCTAGATGTTTATGCTTTTATATATTTTACAATAACTATTGACCGTTTTCAGATAAATAGTAAATTACGCACTGATTCTCGTAAACTAAATGGAAGCTCAGTGGGCCTGTGCCGTTTTAAAATGAACACATTGATGCTGATTGTTGCTTTTGTGCCAAGTTCCTTATTGTTTAGAATATGGCAGAAGGATAAACTGTTGTAGTTGTGTTTTTCCACCTTTCTGAGGTCTACATACCGGGTGTATGAGCAAGAGGAAACTCAGAACATGCAACAGAAATGTCTGTCCCAGCATTTTGACCTGTTCCCTTACACTCCTGTTTTGTTTGACATAATCCTTATGATGGGGATGTTACAATCCTCAATAACTGGGACAGGTGAGTTCACATTTGGCTCTGATTCTAGTCATCAAAAGTCACACATCAGTCGTGAATGATTCATTAAAAGTAAAGTAGAATTTAATTATAAACTCTTCAACATTCTGAGCCGCTTTCATGACAATCTGTTTATCTAAAAGTTGTTGTTTTAAGCTCCGTAATCGTGACGATTTGATGCGGCCATTTGAAGAAATTTGTCTTTTAGTTTATTTCTCTAAAATTGCCTAACTTCCTTATTTCTGAACTAATTTTAACAAAATTCGTATTTTGTAGTTATTTTTAGCTACATCCAATAAAATGAGTTTTAATCCAATTTGGGAACTTAAATTATTTTTTGTAACATTGCTACTTGGGATTTATTATTGTTATAATTATTTTATTACAGGGGCGGCTGTAACTGAGTGGTTAGAGCAGTCGTCCTCCAATGGGTTGGATTCCACCAGCAGTCACATGAAGTGTCGCTGGGCGACACTGAACCTCTCATTGCCTCTGATGTGTGTCCCATCGGTGTATGAATGTGATCTAAAAGCACTGATTAGTCTTTGTAGAGATCTAGTTGTGCACTGTATGAATGGGTAAATGAGGGCACAGATTGTAGTGTAAAGTGCTTTGAGTGTCTTGATAAGATATAGAAGTCCAGTCCATTTACCATTTACAGTACCAAGTTTTTAAATATTTTTTAAACCAAATGAAAAACTAAAGACCTCGAGTTTTCTGTAGCAACGCGACTTCCTAAACAGCAGGTTGTAAAGCTTGACTTTAGATGAAGGGAAAATTGAGTTTGAGTTGATTGCACGCACACGCTTTATTTTAGTGCAAGTAAAACATCCAACATGTGTCTGTTGACTGCTCAGTAAAATAAAATGTGTAGCAAAGAGGCATTTTTACGTTTTTCTACATCTGCGTCTTAATGTCAACAAATAGGCAAATTAATTCTGAACCAATTTACTTTTGAGAGGAAAAACTTGACAATTTTATTTCACTTGTTTTACTCTAGTCTGCTCATGGCTTGTTTGAGATGAGCTGTAAGAAATGAGTGTGGATTCGACCAATATTTTAATGTGTAAACAAAGCTCATCTTAATATGCATCTAACTTTTGATTATTGATAAAAATAGATATGGTCAGATTGTCTCTCTCAACTGTTTGTGTCCTCTTAGTGTTGCCATACAGGTTTCTATTTATTCTGCAGTTTTATAATTTCAGAGGTAGTTCAGTGTAGCAATACATTTGTGCACAGTAATTCCAAGAGTTAAAATAAAAAATTATAGTAACTTGATAACATAAACAAAAGTTGTGTTTCAAATGATGTTCCCTGTATTACCTAATCTGTTTTCCCCTTAAAGTTTTATTAGACGAGTCATGACTCGGAAGTCCTCAATGTCAGCTTTTGTTGTACTAATAGTTTATTTTCTCTATTTTTTTAGGCCCTAAATCCCAGAAAAAGTTTAAGAAGCTGATGATGCACAGAGTCAAGTGGCAGGAACACAATTCTAAAAGAGATGGTACAAGTGTTGCTTTATTTGTGCAACTTCTTACATCTTATTATCTTAATATTAAACTATTTTACTTATAATTGTTTAGATCCAGATGGTGACGACGATGCAAAGAGGAACAACAAGTGTTGGTTGATTTGGGAGGTGAGGGCACACGTACTCTCTGCATGTTGACATGGGATCGTCTTGTTTGGTTTCTGGTCTCATTCAGTTCCTGTGATTCCTCTTTAAGGGAACGGCAAAGGAGCGTAGTTTTGGAGAGATGAAGTTCAAGCAGTGCCCCACTGAGAGCATGGCCCGAGAACACTTCAAGAAGCACAGCACGGAGCACTACTGGGACCTGGCGCTCAGCCACAGTGTGTTGGATGGCACAGACGACTGAAACCTTCCAGTAGAGCGCCTCGTTCCTGTTGGACTTTTCTCATAATCAAGCTTGCAGATCCACAGCAAACCGTCCCTTCTCACCGACTACTGAAAGGGGTTAATTAAGAGACCTGAACGTAGTAAAATGGATGAACAGTCAATGTTTTGTGAGCATGAGACGGGGCGTGTGGAGCGAAGCATGTAGGTCTGCATCAGTGTTGATTTCCTTGGCGATATATAGGCTTTTCTGTCATATTTTTTGTCGACAGATAGCGTGATGTAAAAACTTCTCTCAAGACTACGTGAGAACAAGGAATTACTGCTGATATATCATTTTGTGACCTGGATTCATCATTATTTCTTTTTTGAGTTGAACAATTTAAAAAGCACCCCATCAACAGTTTGCACAGCTTATGTGCTAAAATGAAAACCTGGAGGCGTAGGCACCTTTCAGGTTTCTACATGCATTTTTCTTTTGGAGAAGAGTCTTTGACTCCGCTGTTTCTGTAACAGTAGTCACTGTCTGAAATAAACAAATACTATCCCTATTTTTTGCCATCTAAAGTGTATAAATACAACTGGGTATTGGCTTTTCACACAACTTTGGTGTTAATATAAAAATGTAGACGCGGGGGGGCGTGTCCTCCTGGACTCGTCCTCTTTACTCCAGCTCCTTCATCCCCATCTTCATCATTACCAGCCAGAGTTTGGAAGATGGCGGCCGATTCGGGAGCTGCAAGCGTCCCGGGATCACGCAGCTCCACCACCGCTCTGGAAGCGTTGTTGGACCGCCGCCTTCATGGAGTATCCAACACTATGGAGTCGATACAGGGACTCTCGGCTTGGTGCATTGAAAACAAAAAGCACCACGGCCTTATCGTTCGCTACTGGACGAAGTGGCTCAAGAAATGTGAGTAGCTTTGAAGCTAAGCCGCTAGCTAGCTAGCGCACTTCAACTAATTCAAAAGCATTTTCTGCTCCCATTTTAAGTTTTGCAAGATTTCTTTAGCTGTTTATTAAAAACAGTGCAAATCTGTTTGTTCCACTACAAATAAGTTGTTTATAGTGAAGTATAATTTGCAGGCGACATCATCAACGCAGATGTCATGACTCAAAATTAGCTGCTAATAGCGGCTAAGCTAATGTTTAGCTGTTTACGAGTTGGGCCTCGCGGGGTGCAGACGCCGAGTTCGTTTTCCTGCTGCTAAATAACATTGGAGCAGGTGCTTTGATTTAAATGTGTGCAGCTACATGTTTTTTTTTTTTTTTTTTGTTAAAGCTGCCTAAATGATCCGCTCCATCTGAAACTAGCTAAACCGAGTTCGTTTTCGAGCGGACTCGAGTAATCAATGGAAACTCTTCATAAAATGGAGCCTTTAATATTTTTTGTTTTTAAAATGACTCTTGAACCTTATCATTCTTACTGTTTGCCATTGTTTATCCAAACTAAAACATACAGTATTTATTTTAATTGCACATAAAAGATTGGTACTTTTTTAATAGTGTAATAATCCCCCCTCCCCAAAATAACAATTCAATAATTAACTAGAAGTACTGGTTGTTTATGTCAAAGATGGAGATTTAGGTACACTTCCTGTGTGAGGTGACTTTTAGCAAATTACATATAACCTTGAAGGGTTTGACCTTATCTTTAATTTAGAGGATTTAACTTGTCTTTTCTTAAAATAGTGTTTAGTCATTAAGTTCAGATGCACCAATACTGACCTTTTTTCAGACATTTAAACTGTTAAGTGTTTACAAGATCCTCTGGTAATATTGACACATCTATTTTGGGGTGTTGTAATAGCCCAGCATTGAATATAATGGAGTAAATATCAAATCACAATGGCAGATTTGTAGAATGGTGGATCTTTTATCAGCTCACCTTTTTATTATAATTAAATTAGCTGTTGTGCCAACTCCGGCATATATATACATACATTGATGCTTACAGCTGACATGTTGATTTAATATGCATTGTCCTAATTTAAATAAACAAATGAAATGAAACAATTTCCATTCATTCATTATATTTACCTGCTTTTTCCTTGTTTTCAGTATTTTTAAAATCGGTTTCTATTTATGCAGTATCCTTTTTAAAAAAAAAACAACAACAAAAAAATTGAATTTGCACACAAATTTTCATACATGGCTTGGCCCTGTACTGTAGTACCATTCAGTCCAGTTTTTTTTCACTTAAGCTGTTTCTGCAGACCACTAGAAGTGTAGTGTCCTTAATCTATTCAACAAGCTCTATTGGATCATAATTATTAATTCATTCAACCTTTATTTATACAAGTTTATTTATATAATTTGTGATTGTTTGAATTTCCAAATTAATTCTTGGCAGCAACACCTACATGTTAGCACTGATAAAGTTGTGCAGATCCATTGAAACTCGGGATTACCAAATGATTATGTGACCTTACAAGGCTAAGTCAGGTCCTCTGGACAAATTCTTCTTTGTTGAAACATTTCATCTTTTATCCAAAAGTCTTCTTCAGTCTGAGCCTCAACAAACTCAGTCTTATAAATTGCACCTTCTCACAGTGGATGAACTGGTTTGCTGCTGATGGCCTATTATTATTATTATTATTATTATTATACACCTTTTTCTTGTTGTTATTGTTGGATGTAACTGACCCTGTATATACAATTTTGTTCATCTCATGCACCACACGTGAAGCGAATGATAAAGAACCATGACCTTTTAAGGTCCTCTCATACTCGGGGGAAGCTACTAGAGCAGCAAAAAAAAAAAGGTGGGCCAAAGTCACTAGGCTCTTTAAAATAAATTTTAAAACCGACTGGAAGCCAATAGAGAAAGAATAAAATGGGGGTGTGGGAGTGTTGTCGGGCGGCAGCGTTTTGGGCAAGTTGAAGACGACTGATGATGGGGACATTCTAACATCCTTTGGGGCTCCAACATCCGGCTTCCATTGTTCTATCTAATCTTGATCTGTTGTACCTACTTATGATAAAGTAATAATTACAAACACTTATTTATTGGTTGATGTATATGGCAAGTTGTATGTGTTTTATGCGGTACCTTGTAGCATCAATTGCTCAGTGTCTTGGTCATGTTGACAAACGTTTTCTGGATGTTCGTTCTTCCTCTGTGCTCAAAGAACAATGGATATTTTGTGATGCTGATCACAAAGCAAGAGTTGCTCTGTGGCACCAGTGCCTTTGTACTTTAAAAAGGACAGTAGGAGCAAAACTAGATTATGGTGCAGATTATTATTTATGACTGACGTGATTTAGTTAGGCTATCAAAAGATCTGTTAATGCCTCTAAAATATTGATGCATTTTGATTTAAAAAAATTATTTTGGTAGTCAGCAATTTTAAAATTTGTCAAAAACATCAGATCCTTGATGTAGGATAGGATGCTCTTGGTTTTTCATTGGAATCGATTTTTTTAAATTAATCTACTTTTATTGTTATGTGTTCTCTAGAAACTATCTTTATTCCTAGTACTGGTTCTTATACACTAATAAAAACTGCAGAATTTAATACTGATAATACTGACTGACTGTTTTATGGGAATCAACAAACACTACGTTGTCAAATGCATCTTTTTAAGTGACAGTCATTTCATATTTGTACAACTTTTATTTGAATTTACTTTGTGTAATTGGCTTAATTATGTGGACATATTTATCTTAAATGGTTAAATCAGATAAATGTAGTATAAAAGAAACATCATGCTTGTAAAAAAATATGAAGAAATTTGTTTTCAGAAGTATCAGACCATTTGACAGTTTATTAAAAACTATTATTTGAGGCATGCATACAAATGTGTGCGCTAATTCAAGTGAAAGTCAACCTAAATTCTACATTAATAAAATCATATATTATTATTTTTGCTCATGCACTGCAGTGTGTGCCTGCAGATTAGTATTGATAACTGTTAGCATGATTCTCTTACATGAGACATTGGACATTGTCTTACTGGGACATTATTCCAGTGATGAATGTCAAGGGTCAAAGTGAAGTAAGTCTTTCAGAAATGAATCGAGTCTGATGGTGCCATTTCTCATATGCAGATTTCTAATTGGTGTAGAGCAGGGGTGCCCAAACTTTTTCCCTGAGAGGGCCAAATTTAAAATCTATCATAGGGCTGCGGGCCAAATGCAATATTATAATGCATGAAATGCAAATATTTAAGTAAAGTCCATTTATTTATTATATAGTTATTTAACCTTCCATTCTGTATAAAGAACATTATAGAACAGGCTGCGTTGGTGGTTCTGGGGATCTTCCCCCAGAGAATTTTGAATAAAGTACATGCCATTTCCTGCAATTTGGTGTATTTTACAAAGGTTTATTACAGTATAGATTAACATGAAACAAAAGATGTAAACTCATTGAAATCTATGACTGCAAAGCTGCAGCTCTGCAGGTAAGGGACAATCACTTCAGGACAAATTGAGGTTCCTGATTGGTCAGTTGCTGACGTGCCTACTGGAATGATTGACAGGTGGCATGACTCGTGCAAAAAAAAAAAAATCATAGATTTTACTGGCCGGTTTGAGATTTTTCAGGGGTGCTGAGTTAAAATTTAGGGGTGCTTGAGCACCCCCCAAAAGACACTAAAATCACTACTGAAGCCAGTTCATATTTATAATTTAGGCTATTTTTAAAACGCTTTATGTGTGATTTATATGTGTATTAGTGCAGGATCATTTCTTACCTTACTAGTTGTTTAGTATCTCACACCACGTTCAAGTGCGCCTCCTCATCCTCCTTCCTGTTCCGCACTGTGGTACAACAATCGCTGCTCTAAGTTTTTGGCCACACATAAAAAAACTGCCTAATATTTAGCGCTTTGTCACTGAACGGTTTAGAAAAGAGTTGCTCTCAATCCTTTTGCCAAATTCAAAAAAGTGTCCTGGTTGCTTCAACATCTCGTCAAACACTCTGATTACAGATAAAGAGCTTTATGAGCCGAGCTCACCATTTCTTTTTTGCAGTTCAGATAACTCCTGCAGTGATTCACACATCAGATTGTTCACAAAAGCACAGGAACTTATGTGTAGTGCAAAATGTTTATTTATATTTTTTGTGTTTTTTCATAAAATTGCCCATGACTTTTAGGGGCAGAGATTTTTTTAAGACTAGAAGCGGAAATGCAAAGCGACAGCTCTGCTGTGATATTAGGAAGCCCAAAATAAGTGTTTATGTAATAATGTTCAGTTTACTTATTCAATACAAGTTTTATTCGTTCAATCGCTGCAGATGAATAGGTCTGTGCATGGGGTGCAGAATACAGTAATGATCTGAAGAAATTAATTCACATCTATCTTGGGGAATGGGTCCTTGAGAGTATCCTTCATTCGTCATTTCAGTTAGACTCCTTGTCACATGAGAACAGAGTGTGTGGAGTTATGGTAGGAAAATTGAAACCCTGAGCGAGAGGTTTGGTACATGTGATGACCTGAGGCTTCACTGTGTGTGTCACAAAAATCTGCCCCCAAGAGGGGTGGGTGCTAGACAGCCATATGATGCCCAGCTTTGTCAAAGGAAAATGTTTTTCAGTGACGGGAAGCTATAGGAAGTCTGTCAAAATAAAGTGTAGATTAGTAAAATAAAAAAAATAATGTACAGATTAGCCACTCCAGCTTTGTAGTGCCATTACAGTAGTCATTGGGCTGACTTTCCATTTCACATTAAAGTCAGAATGAATGAGTTGAAACATTGATACTTGAAGGAAATTTTAATATAGTAATGAGAACAGCTTGGTGGGCCAACTTTGGCCTGCGGGCCCCACTTTGGGCACCCCTGGTGCAGAGGAAAAATGAACAACCTCTATGTGCGCAAGGGCCAAAACTTTTTATTTTTTTTTTAATTTTTTTTTTTAGTGCTCAGTGTAAGCTGAAATCTAATAAGGGAAATTAATTTTTTTGAA